GCAAAACAAAATAATCAGGTTCGAGATAAATTTTATGTTGAATTTTTAATTATTTAAATATTTATATGTTTATTACCGAACTTGTAGGGGCATCAAAAAGAGGATTATATACAATATATCACCATGGAGGACCTCAATCAAGAACAACCAGAAAACGCAATTCGTTTAGAAATTCATGATCAACGAGAGTATTTTGCTAGTCAAAAGTTAGAACAGGGTCATGACATAGAAATGACAGATTCGCAAAACGTAAAGTCATGGTTTATACGTTAAATTACAAACCAATGAATGTAATTATAAAGAATATTCCTAACAAATATTGATATGACCTTATTAGTCTCCGATCGATGTATTAAATGAATTTAAAGTTGATTTCGTTGATTGGAAGCCTAATCTGACAGTAGTAAGTGCTTTTAAGAGTTGTTTATATTACAATAATATATTAAATGTTAATATCCATGTTCATTATTTCTCAGTCATTAATTAGTGATAAATACGCTAAAAAAGCCACAAAAAAATGTAATGAACTAATCAAGACAAAACAACATTACGCAAAAGAAGCATTACCAAATTTGGGTAATTGATTTAATTAATACTCATAGATATTTTTATCATTTGTGAATGAATGAATGATCATGAACAATACCATCTTATAGAAAACTTCCCTTCCCCAATTGAGAAAGAAGTTCATCTCATTCACCTGATGGGAAATGAGTATCTACGGCATTTTTGGACGTCGCTAAACTCCAAAGATAAAACCGAGAAGAATAAAAAGATGGTTGATAAACTTCGTGATACTTTGACTCGAATCAATAAAGTCAAAAAGATGAGTCAGGACGGTGATGAGATGCAGGATGCCTCACAAACGTCTCAAAACACAGATATACAGGTTAGCGAATTAGAATGGTCCAAAGCTATAATGCTGGCAGAACAAGTATGTAATTACCCATTCATAATACTCGTTACTATTGATATTGAAAATTAAGATATTTATATATATGATCATTAGATGCTTAAGCCTTTGCGCGATGCCATTGAGGTAGCTCTCGCCCGAGTACCCTCACGTAAAGAAAATCCTATGTCTGCAGACCACTTCCGATCAAGCGCCGGGGGCAGATCTTCCGCCTAAGATTTTTCACGATAATTTTAATCACACAGAATTTTTTGGTTTGAATTAATATTTTTTAATAAACCTAATATAAAGAATAAATCTATTCGTCATTAGCTTTGACAATCACCGGACCGCGATTGATCAACTAGATCCCAATATTATGTGTTAAGGTCAAAGCGTGAAGATCAACTGTCCCAGCCTTACCAGTCTAAAAATTTAATGTTATATAGGTTTAGTTTTCATTATTGCTTAGGTAGAAGGTGCTATTGATATATTCAAATTTACAAGAGTTTCGTGATTTGTTACGTTACACCTGATTTTGAAATTTGATTGGTTAGAGAAATTTTAGGTCGTAACTAGCGCTAGAGGTCGGAGTAATCTAAGAGTACAAACCACCCTATACTGGTGTGGTTTACAGTATACAGTTATTGAGGCGAAGGACTCATATAGTACACAACTTCAGATAATTGTAAAAAAAAAAAAAAACAGTTTATACCTTAGAACTACTATTAATTTATATTATAAATTAATAAAATAGAATATTTTAGGACTGGGTGAAACCCGCATAGGGACCTGCACAGGCCTAGAAATTTGTACTTTGCCGGCCCGCGAAATAAAATTTACTGTTTTTTAAAAGTTCGGCCCGCAATTTACTATGTTCTTAACATACCGCAATTTTGAGAGGTTTTAAAATTTTCAAATTTCGGCCTGGCTCGTGCAGGCCTCTAAACCCGCATAAGCGGATGTAATCTACGTATCTGATTTTACTAATTCACAGCGCGTGTTTTATAACAATTTTTTACAAATTTAATAAATTTTGTATATATATTTTTTTTTTCTAATTCGGCTGTCCTGCCCTTGTTTATTTGGGATCAAGTCATTCAAAATTACAAGTAATTTAT